GAGCGTGAGATGGCTGCTGACAATAAGCTCCTCGGTCAGTTCGATTTGGTGGGAATCCCCCGGCTCCTCGTGGGGTGAGTCATCTTGTATCAGCTTAGATGATTGAAAAAGATTTTGCTAGGTACCTCAAATCGAAGTTACTTTCGATATTGATGCTAATGGTATCGTCAACGTTTCTGCTATGGACAAGTCCACCGGCAAGAAACAGAACATCACTATTCAGTCCTCGGGTGGTCTCTCTGATGCTGATATCAATAAGATGGTAGGCGCCGTGTTGGGGGTCGGCTCGGATGGACACGTGTTATGGTCAGGTGAATGAGGCTGAGAGCATGAAGGAGCAAGATGAGAAGCGCAAGCAGGCCGTTGGTGCTAAAAATGATGCCGAGACTCTCGTCTACTCTGTGGAGAGGCAACTCAGTGAGCTCAAGGACAAGATGAGCGATGCTGATGCCGAGGATTTGAAGCAAAAGATTGCCGCTGTGAGGTCCACTTTGACCACGGATGATGTTGATGAGATCAAGAACAAGACCAAGGAGTTGCAAGATGCTTCTTGGAAGGTACGCTCTATTAGGAGTTCCCACAGGTGTTGGTTTACATTGTGCTCTTGGCAGGTTTCTTCACAAGCGTATCAGCAGGGCTCAAACGACCAACAGCAAGAGGAACAGAAGACTGAAAATACCGAGGATGAAAAGAAGAATTAAATATTGTTGTTGACGTTGTGGGTATTTTCTAGTTATGTAGTTGGTGTGATCACAACGAAGACTCTGTGTATCTCGTTTCCGTGGATTCATAATTATCATCATCATCATCTTGGTCGTGTGGTTGCTAAATGATCATTGTAAGGAACCATTAGACACCCGTGCCTTTGTTACTATCTCCATCATCACTTTTACTAAAATACTACTATACGAATGCCGAGATCGAAGGATTGAGTTTCAGAGGTTCCTTGGTGATGTTGAGTACCGTAACACTGTTGGGAGTGGCAGTAGTAGCCGCAAGCCGTTTTCAATGCTCTTCTTGAGCCTAGCTAATATTCGTCTGGAGATTTACTTTCAGTTCTATCACTGAGGTTTTCGTGGTCTCTTCGTCCTCGGTTTGACGCCGAATGCTTATGCTATCAGCGGTTATTGATTACGTAAATATCGCACCCGAACCAGTTGATGCTCTGTCTTGTGTAATTGTTTTGAGTTTATAGTAGACGACCCCTCTTTATGATGAGCTTGTACCATTTTCATAGTAAATGTTGGGTATTAGGGAATAAGTGCTCAAGGGTAAATGAAAGGCTCCTCACTGGTCGAGTACGCCAACGCTATTCGTCCACCTCTGACACTGTAACTTGTTACAACGCTTAGGGTTGAATATCACGTCCATGACAAACAGACGTGGATCTGATCACACAACTGCGCGTCCATAGTACGAACTACGTACATGAGTCGTGTGCACATAGAAGCACCTTTGTACTATAGAGCCTATAACCAGGTGGAGGCAAAAGCCTCTCCAGCGAGTGGGTTCCATTAAATCTGACCAGGGTCCGTCGGCCAGTGCCAGTGCCAGATAGATCTGAGTGGCGTTGTTAAGCGCTGATAACACAGCCTCGAGTATTTCTGTGTCCACCAGGCACATGCCTCCACCGCCAGCGGTCCTCCCGGAGCAAATGCTTCTGGCGCAGTTCGGATTCCTAGATAAGGGGTTTTATCGCACTACTCGCTAGCAAGGTTATCCGATTCTTCGCCCAAGGCCTGTGCCCAATGGCAAGCACGCAGAAAATTGATGACTATGTACACAGTCCCAGTCAGCCTCTCAACTCGCCCGACGACTCCGGTCACTTTTCATTAGTACTCTTCAACCATACGTAGTGCGCGACTCTTCATGGTAGCGCTCGCCCGAGTATCATAACAGCGTTTTTTTTGTGAGAGACGCACACATTGAAGGAGAGCGTGAGCTGAGGTCATCGGGGAGACATATGCCCTGGGTTGTGGTCTATATTACGTGCCAAACCCCAGCAATAGATAGCTCGTCCACGTCTCGGCCATCCGGCCACTCCACACATGTCCTGTGTGGCAGAGGAAGTATATTCATTGTATCAACTCTCAG